GTAGTAGAGGAGGGGTTTTCGGCTGTGTTTTATTATTCTAAGTTGGTCGTCTGTAATGGGAGTGTGTTGCTTTGCAAAGGAAATGGCTTTATTAAATATTTCGGTTGTTATTGATGGGTAAAATTCATTTATATCGAATTGAATGAAGAAACAATTATTTTTGTCTGGAATGTTATTAAACCAATTGATAACATCGGTTGTGTTTTTCCATTGGTTTACTTTAAGCCTAATTCTTAAGTTACTGTTTACTGTGTCTAAAATTTTTTTGCTTATTATTTTGATTTCGCTTTTTGCCGGGTTAATGAGGCAGCATGTTGGTTTTGATTTGAAATTTTCTTAATGGTCTTTTAGGGTTATAAATGCAGGAGATTTTGCTAGGTGTTCTATTCTGTTACTCAAATTTAGTTTTAAGGCTATATTTATATATATATATATATATATATATATATATATATATATATATATATATATATATATATATATATATATATATATATATATATATATATATATATATATATATATATATATATATATATATATATATATATATATATATATATATATATATATATATATATATATATATATATATATATATATATATATATATAGAAAGTGAAATATGGTTAGAAACTATAAAAGAAAAACTGATCGTGGCAATTTTTCTGAGCAGAGCATGTTATTGGCAATCGACTGTAAAATTAAAGGAAATGTCATTGAGAAAAGCAGCTTTGACATTTAGTGTAAATAAAGATGCTTTACATAGAAGGATTCAAAGAAAATTAAAGAATTTAGAATCTTTTAATATTCATAAATGATCACTTGGTTCATTTAAAAAAGTATTGCCGGATGATACTGAAAATCAATTAGTTAGCTACATTAAAGAAATGGATTTAGTTTATTATGGATTGTCGATAAGTGACATTCAACAAACTGTCTTCCAGTACGTAGAAAAGTATTACATAGTTCATCCATTTAATAAATATAATGGTGTTGCAGGAAGAGATTTTGTAAGTGGATTTTTGAAGAGACATCCAGACCTTTCAATAAGAAAGCCTCAGGGGTTGTCTTTAAATCGTATTTATGGTTTAAACCGCAGTTCTGTGAACATTTATTTCAATAATATAGAAAATGTTATTAAAAAATATAAGTTTGAAGCTCATCAAATTTTTAACTGTGATGAATCAGGCATTACAACTGTACATAAACCTGTTAAAGTTATAACAAAAAAAGGGAAACATTGTATTTCTTCTGTAAAAAGTGGTGAACGAGGTGTAACAACAACCGTTGTTTGTGCTATGAATGTAACTGGACTATTTGTTCCACCAATGATGATTTTTAAGAGAAAGCGAATGAAATTAGAACTAATTGACCATGCTCCCTTTGGAACAATTGGAGGGTGCTCTAAAAATGGATGGGTTACAACTGATCTGTTCATAGAGTATATAAAACACTTTACTAAGTACACTAGAGCTTCTATAGAAAATAAAACTCTTTTAATTGTAGATGGGCACAAAGCTCATACAAAAGACATTAATTTGTTAGATTTTGCAAAGGAAAATGGATTAGTTATTATAACCTTACCACCTCATACTTCTCATAAGTTGCAGCCACTTGATCAAAGCTTTTTTAAACCATTAAAAACTTTTTATAATATAGAATGTGGATCATGGTTGCGTGAGCATCCTGGAAGAAAAATAACAGCTGATCAACTTGGAGGTATATTCTCCAAAGCCTATAATAAGGCTGCCTCTGTAGAAATTACCTGTTCTGGTTTTCGTACATCTGGAATTTATCCTTTTTGTCCAGATATAATTCCAGACACTGAGTTTAATGAAGACAAAAGATCTAATGTCATCTTACATAAACCTAATAAAATCGAATCACAAGTTAATTTGAGCACCTTATTACCATTGCCCTCAGGATCTTCAGAAAATATTGATTTTGATATAACACCATGCTTCTCTAATATTGTACCAATTCCAAAGATCATTTTACCACCAAAAAAAGGAGAAGAATCACAGATAATAACAACATCACATTACAGAAAATCACTATTTGAATCCTCTGAAAATCGAAAAAGTTAAAAGAACACAAAATAGAAAATAAAAGTGCATTAGGAAAGGGTAAAGAAAAAGTTAAAAGTTTAAGTGTTGAAGACTGGGAATGTTATGTTTGTAATGGTTTATGGAGTAAAGCTGCAAAAGGAGAGAAGTGGAGTCAATGTTCAAAATGCACAACCTGGGCTCATTCAGACTGTTGTTCTTTTCAAAATACTGGTCAAACAATATGTGATTTATGTGACTAGTGACAGTTTGTTTATAGCTATAATATATTATAAATGTATTTCTTTCCTCTTAAAGATCTGTTTTGTTTAATTTTATTTATTTAAATTGCTAAAAAAAAACTGTTTCATTTTGCCCCGCTATGCGGGGCAAAATGAGACAGGATAGGAGCTGTCAATAAATGATCTCAGGTGACCAAAACACTGCAATTT